GGTGTGAAACTGGGTGTGGGACCCAATCAGCCAGGGTTTCGGGTGAGCTCATTGTGAAACCTGGCCCCACCTTATCAGGCAAATTCCTGAGGTCAGATGGCCCAGGATGTGAGTGGGCGTTAAGGCGTCTGGGGAGGGATCTCAAAACTGGATTGAGTTTGAGTTCCCTCCCCGCTTCTCGGATGAGAGGTGAAACGTCTTCAAGCAACTTATTAAAGAAGTCCAGGCGCCTTTCTTTGCAAGCTCCTTTGACTACGATGACCTGGATTACTGAGAACCTTCACAGACATAATCCTTCCAAAGAAAGAAGAAAGTAAAAAATTTTATGTTCTCCAAATATTTCTCCATTATACACCTAAAAATAGACATGGGCTAATTGGTTTATATAAACCTATAATTTCTCAAAATCATTATAGGTCAAACAAAGCACAATCTCCATGGAGCACTCACACAGGCTATAAATATGGTGTCCTCTGACGCACATTCTTCATTCTTCACCACTGTTTGTACCAATAGCAGTGAAGAATGACAATGCACAAACAGTACAGTGCCCAGACCAACATAACCATAACCTTTACAAACACAAGCCGTTTACTCTGGCTGAGTGGTCTGCACAGCACGATATGCCACTTTAATAAACCCCTCGGTTGGTTTGGCTGTGTGTTTTGGTTCATTGTCCATCTGTATTATGAAATGGGGCCCAATCAGTTTGACTGCATTTAGGTGGATTTGTGAAGACAGTATATCTCTGAACACCTCAAAATTCATTTGGCTGCTTCTTTCCTGTTTCACATCATCAATAAACACTAGTGTCTAAGTTCCACTGGCAGCCATGCACACCCAAGCCATCCCACTGCCTCCACTGTGTTTTATAGATGATGTAGTATGCTTTGGATCAGGAGCTGTTTCACTTCTTCTCCATACTTTTTTCTTGCCATCATTCTAGTAGAAGTTGATCTTGGTTTCATCTGTCCAAAGAATGTTTTTCCAGAACTGTGCTGGACTTTTTTTTTTGATGTTTTTAGAAAAGTCCAATCAAGCCTTCTTGATTCTTGCAGTGAACCCTCTTTGACCGCATGTTGCCTGTTCGTAGCAAAATCTTCCAAATGCAAGCACGACCCCTCAAATCAACTCCTTTTATCTGCTTAACTGATAATGATACAGCAAAGGAATAGCTCACACTTGCCCATGAAATAGCCTTTGAGTCAATTGTACTTTTCGTCCCTTTAAAAACAGGGTGACAGATGTTAAGGAGCTAAAAGTCTTAAACGCTTCATCCAATAAAGGCACCTGAGCTTCCATTTCAGTGGGCACGGGAATCACCCGTACAAAACAAAGGAATTCTTGGTCAGAAATGACCTGGACCATTACTGTGAAGGCTTGAAATTTGAACAGTATGTAAGAGTTGATATGAGAGGACTGTGATGGCCAGAATGAACATAATTGAAAGCAATAATGGAAAAGAAGCTGTAGACTGGTTCTTAAGGAAGATGACCAGCTTGAAAAATAATATTACTTATGTCTTGGAATCACATTTCTGTAGATTAAAAAAAAGAAAACAACAAGAGTAATACTTTAATAACCCACAGGAAATCAGAGATATATTTTATTACTAAAAAATGTGATCTGAAAGTTAATTGTAATAAATTGAGAAGTAAAGTAACTGCAGCTGAGATTTTTCTTACCAGTCTTCCTTTGATTAAGCACAAAAGGTAGTGTAAGCAAGAGGACATCCACCATTACGAATGCTCTAATTGTCCATATCATTTTTGCAGCTTTAAGAAAGGAGTTCAATTCGCATTTTAAGTTTAAAATGTTAAAACAGCAATAAAAAAAACGTATTGTGGGCATGGTGTAAGAAAAGCTCTACATTAGTTCAATTCTGTTTTTTGTTTTTTAGAGTGCACTGGTATCTTTATGATTTTATGAAGGTGTCATAAGTTGGTGTGAAGGTGGACTTTTAAATTTGAGTTAAAAAAAAACAAAAAACAAAAGGTGAACCTTTATTCATAAAAATAAGAAAACAATGTCCACAAATTAAAAGGGTTAAAACATACAGGCATTCAAACACGCAGCAATCAACAGTAACAAAACATTAACAATGAGGAAATAAGGTAAACTGAGGCTTTTAATATACTGAGATAACAAGGGAAGGGAAAACACACACAGCTTAAACTAATCATGGTAAACGAGACAAAGGAAGCAAAACTAAACAGTGCACATGAGACGACAAACTAACAAAATACAACAAGAAGTGACTAAACATGGGAACATCTAACAGGATGGAAAACACTGGGGATGTAAAGTAAACAAACTAAAACAAAGTAAGACAGAAAACATTAAATTACAGTCCAAAAACTCAAAACGTTGGTTCAAAGACCAAAGATTGTGGCAGATGCTGACTAACCTAATAAACAATATCCTGTAAGTGCAAAAACATTTTTTTTACTTTATTCAAAATAAGAAAATTAAGTCTGTTATTTCATCACTGGTTGCTGGATCTGTAAGAGTCATGTTAGCAGTGGTCAGATTACTGGCAGCTTTGTCAGTTATACCCGGAAAAGAAGGAGAAAGGGAGCTGCCTCCAGTGGGACAGCAGGAGAAATAATTTATTTAGAGCTGAAGTCTTTAGAAGTCAAGCCTAAAAAGTGTACTTGTTCAAACACTTAAAACCATTTCATTTTTAAAATTCTTATCTGCAGGACCATGTCCTGTTGTGACTTTCATAGTAGGAGCAGAGGTCAAAGTGCTTGCAGATGAGAGTGATCTATAAGTAGTCAGAACTAATGCATTCACAAAAAGAAAAGTCAAATCTTCAAAGTCAAAAAGCAATAAACTACAATCAACTACTACCTCAACTTTCCTCTTGGTGTGGCTATATGCACATAATGTAAAAGAAAAAGAGGAGTATGTCACTTACTTCCTATGTTGATGGAAAATATTTTACTGTGAGGACACTTCAATTTTTTTTAAACATTTTCTTTATTTATGTGTAGGACAAAGGCAACATCAGCAGGTATTGTATACATTTAGCTGTCAGGCAGCATTACAAAACTATCAATCCATGTATTATGGTTTTTATTTTGTTGAGTTTTTCTTTTGTTACAGGTGATTTTATATCAATGACTAAAATGAACCAGGGAAGAATGGTAAACAAAATGTTTCAGTCAAATAAAAATACTCTTAATTAAAACAATCAATTTAAATACCGAGGACATAAAGTTGATTTTTCCCTGTTGTGTTAAGTTACCTGCAGGTAATGATGGAGGCTCCAGTGTGATCACTTCAGTACCTGATGACAACTGTCTTACTAGTAAGCTGTGTTTTGCCTCTAGTAATAAGATGGTGAAATTGTTGTACATGGTAGGGCTGTTCGATATAACGATATATATCGGATGACGATATGAAAACGTCTATCATTACATATTACACTATCGTTTGTTTCGTGGTGTCGCAAAATAATCTGTTTATGGCAATATTTTTTCATTGTTTTGATGGTCACTGTAGAATTTCTCTCTTTCTCTTATATTTAATATAACCACACTACAGACGATCAAGCGACTGTTTTTATGCGTTGACGTTAGCAACAACGATGGTAAAACCATTGCGTGGTTCTGTCATCTGCTTGTTTATTTTCCACATAAACATTTCACAATAAAGCTCAAGATCCTGTTGAGATTTTTGTGATATATATCGTTGTTGGGACGATAAATATCTTATATCGGGATATGAGATTTTGGTCATATCGCACAGCCCTACTACATGGAGTAATTATTTATGTGTACCATTAGTTGTTTCTGAAAGTAACACAATAAGATGATGGCTGTTTAACAGTAATATTGTTAATATGCTCAAATCTTTATTTCATATCTATAGCATATTTAGTTATTACTGCTGACTAACTTTCAGTAACATAGTTGATTTTTTTCCAGTGTATGACAAGGGAGCTTTGGCTTTGATAACATTTTACTACCTTGTGATAAGGAAAGCTATTTGACCACTAAAGAGCCTTTAAAATGTCCAAATTTAGAAGAACACTATGACATATACAGTTACAAGACAAACTTTGTGAACCCACTGGACTACATGTTGTCTTGCACTTGTGTGTGTGTGTGTGTGTGCGTTTTAATCCTGACTGAAAGAAATAATTTTTCAATGTTGTTCTCTTTCAGGAGAGAAACTAAACTTGGAACAGACAAAAAATGAAGATGTAAGTTAGACCTGGTGTAGTAATAAATATGTCCGCTTCTCATCTTAATCAATGCTAATGACTAAAAGGACATTACTCTTTCTCTTCTAGTCTGACATTTACCATGTGTACGCCACCATCTCTGAAGCAACAGATCCACCAGATTCACAGGACACGATATACAGCACGCTGAATGCACACTGAAACACAGTGAAACATGTTTGGTGACGTTGTTAGTAAAATGTCTAAAATGATCTAAATCATGTCAAAGTGAGAAAAGTGTGACAGGTAATAGATGCAATCTTGCAAAAAATCTTGAGCTTGAATTGTTGTAGATTTTTTTTCTATTTAAAGATAACTGACATGATGATGATTTCAGCTTTAGTATTTTTAATAAGCGGAATCTAGAGGAATCTCTATCTTTACTGAGGGCTATGAAATACATCTCCCCTTAATCTTATCTGTACCCTGTCTGTTATTGCACAACTTAATAAAGCTGTTTAGTACTTCGAATGTATCCAAATAATACAACTCCAGTATATAAATTTGTGACAATAACATTAACAGTTAGTCTTTTGTTACGTGCTGTGACTGCACACAGGCTTGTAAAAATAGGCAACATACAATTGACCCTCAGCCAACCGACCAGCTGCAGTTTTTAGGTCAGCACACAAGACCATTTTAGGCCAAAGATTATGATGATGAAAAAATACAGGAAGAATGATGTACTGTAGCTGATTACTGTACTACACAGCTGCTACAGTTTGCCTAGTAGTAGTAACATAATCATGTGACATAAAACATTTAGTGATGATGATACTTTGTATCCACACAGGCAACAGAAGTAAAACAACAGGGGGAAGATCTGAAATTTACATTCAGTAAATAGAGATGTATGTTTTTGGCTCTAGGTTTCATTTGTGTGATATATCACTGTGAGATGTATTAAAAATATGTAGTTTTTCATTTTCAGTTTCTGGTTCCTGGTTATTACAAATAAACTAACACAGGTAATAAGCCACAGTATTTGTTGAGTGTTTTTTTTTATCTAGGATAAAGAAAGCACACACACACACACACACACACACACACACACACAGAAACACACACACACTCACACACACACACACACACACACACACACACACTACGACACGTTACCCAGTTTCATGCACCTAAAGTTGCATCTATCTATGTGAGCTACTGTCTATGGCCTCGCTCTGTTACTCCACATCCTTTCACTAAGTCTGCACAAACAATTCTCAATCATGTGAATCTATAACTTTTCTACTTATTTTATGCTGAGGGCTCAGTAGCCCAATTTAACTATATTATTTTCAGTGCTCAGAATTTCAGTTAACTGTGAAAGTGATCTAAAATGCATTAAAAGCCTCAAACCATTTGCCAGCACAAGTCTTGTAAACCACTTTTCTAGTCCTCACACATTAAGCATCCATCCATCCATCGTCTTCGGCTTATCCAGGGCCGGGTCGCGGATAACAACATTAAACATATTTAAATTGTTTTGGTGGGTAAACTTACCATTTTCTTCTCAAAATATTATTATAATATTATTAATTGTTTTTTCTCATAGACTGATGTTTATTTCCACATTATTATCAGCAGTTTCTGGGTGTATGCATATAACCAGAAGAAGGACAATGTGGGCATGCACAGCACATGTCATACTCACGCGAGCGGCCTGAAGTTCCTTTTTCACAACATCTTTTGAGGCCAGTGAGACTTTCAGACACAGAGCCCACTGGTGTATTTATAAACTGTGGTATCTGAATCAGTCACATGATTTGTGAAATTATAATTAATATAAATGAAAATATAGTCTGAAATTTGAACTCTGGAATAATTGTGTTACAATATATACAATTTCTTGATTGTATATATTGTCTAATGCTACATAGTAGCATTAGGAATTAAGACCCCTACTGTACTATCAAGCTTGTGCACTGCACCTCGATTGACCTTCATCTGAGGAACAGCTAAAGCAACAGAAATGATACTGTAGCATATATTTAGTAATCTTAACTTAGCCCCCCTGTGGTGGCTGGTATATATAACACATATATAGGTACTTTTAATTAGGTGCTCTTTATATGTGTAGCTTTGTGGCCTCAATATGTGATGAAGTACTTTTCCTGCCTCTTGTGGTTTTCCTGTGACCAACTGCTACAAAACGATTCATCCCCTTCTGTGTCGTCAGAAACGTGAGAATCTTCTTCTCAACAGAGCCTTTGGTGTGCTGTCCTAATGTGTGAGTTAAACATCCTGCAGATTTTGCAATATTTAATGTGATCTCTCAACATTCGTGTAAGTTCACACTTGAAACATATATTTTGCTAAAGTTATTTCAGACTTATTAATAGATTTATTTATGTTCTTGACATATATTTTCAACAGTGTCCTTCCACGTAATGCAAGTACAAGGTCAGTCTCTGATCTACTGTATTTATTGCTGAGTTGTGTCGTAACTGTATGTTATTCCACGATTAGTCTATGATTGGATTGGGTAATGTATAACTGCTTACATGGGAAAAAAGGGTAAAAAAAAAGGCGCAGGTATATTATGTGACATAACATCTAAGCGTTCAGTATAACATGTCTTGGTCTAAAACTGGCAATGAAACAGCAGTGATCACAGAATTTGTTCTGTAGAAGTTTTGGCTGTTGATCTCACATCAGAGTTCATCTGCCTCTGTCTGTGTCTGCACTTGAGGCCTCTCACCTGGTCTGGCCTCTCGGCCGTAACACAAAGTAGAAGTGAAGCTTTGCCTTCTTACAGTTATTGACAAAAAGATGATGAACAAGACAGCAGATGCAAATGTTAATTTATTTACGACCACAATTATCTTTTACGTTAGATGTTGTGAAAAGAGCATCAGGAATGTTCAACATGGTATGACACACAAAACAGCTAAACAGGAACTCATTATTCATTGCTCATTAGTTGTTCTCACAAAGACCTTTTTTGCACATTTTATTCAGAAGAACGGAACCTCAGCAGATGCAGTGTTTACACTCACACCACTCCCAGGAACATTATATTAGGTAGAACGATTGTTAAACAGAAATAGACTGATTTGTATATGAATGTTTTTAGTGTTGTTCCTTCTACACATTTATTTACCTAAATATATAGAATTAAGAAAAAAAAAGAAGAAAAAGACTTTACACATTAACCTAAAATATTATGAAAAAACATGTACAGGACAGAGTGAGAAAACGTATGTCTTACTGTGGCCAGTTAGTGTGATTCACTTCTGATCCTGTGGTTTTCCTGAAAGCAACTTTTGAAAATGTCACTTATTTCAGGCAAAAGTAAAAGCAGTTAGTAGTAGTCTGTTCTGTTCACATGGTTTCATCATGGCTGAACTCCTGCTGCTGTTGGTGGCCTTTGCATATAAGTTAAACTTTTTCTCATATCAGCTGGTACTTGATGTCGGCCATTCAGGTGATTTATCAGTTAGGTATCACTGTTAGCATGTTGCATTTTTACATGAGGATGCTAACACTAGACAGTAAATTTCGTACATTGTTGCTTCTGTGTTGTATTTTTAACTATCAGTAACAAAGTACGGGATCAATCTCTAAGCTTTTATGTTTCTATGGGCTTTTTACTTTGACATTATTTAGTAAATGTTCTAAAGTCAAACTTTTTGTCACGTCTAATTTTTATTGTTTCCTATTACTTAAAATCTATTCAGTTATTATGTCAGTTATGATTTAATTTTACAGCTGTATCATCACTTTTTTCTCATATTGCCGTTCTTCACCAGATTCTTTTCATGAAATTAAAGCACAAGGTCAGTCTCTAAGTTTCATGTTTTGTTTTTTGTCACCAATATGTTGGCTATTTATTTAGACTATTTCTTTGCAGTTTCTCTACAAAAATCTTATCACCTTATGATTTCTGACACTGGGAACTAACTATTAGAAATAAAAATCTGTGCATATGAAATTTCAGGCATTCTGCCACCTGAACGGACTGTGACTCCACTTGTGATCACAGAGACAGACTCAGTCACACTAAACTCCTGTTTCTGTGTCTCAGTGTTATTTCCTCATTTCAAGAAAGAAACCTGCCAAAAGTTATTCTGTTACACTTGAAGTGACATGTTATTGCTTTTTTTTTCAGAAGTCCCCACTCAGTAACATGTCACCAATCACCATACAAAGTTACCCATTAAAACACTGATTTTGATTTTGCACATTTGACTTTTAATTTATTATTTTATTGCTTTTTTCTGTCATCAGTGTGTCAACTATATACTGACTATTCTTGAACAATATATTTTTCTGTTAATGGTGATTTGACACATGGAATTATTATCTATTTAATATAACTTATATTTAGTATCTCTAAATTTCAGCAATTCCTTCATCTGAATCCACCTGTGATCACAGAGACAGACTCAGTCACAGTGAACTGTCAGACTCCATCATCTTTTAATGTGATTCAGTGTTTTTCATACATTATAAGAAGAAGCAAATATACATCCATCTCCTGTGAGCAGAATGTAACAGGAACTGAAGTCCTATCTTGGGCAGCAGAGTTTATTGCTGAGGTGGATGTGACATGAGCAGCAGGTCAGCTGACCAGCTGCTCCTGGAGGTACCGAGATCCAGGAGGAAGCTCAGAGGGGACAGGGCCTTCTCTATTGTGGCTCCAAAATTATGGAATAATTTGCCCATGCATGTTAGAGAGGCCCCTTCACTGTCCACTTTTAAATCACGTCTTAAAACCCACTTTTATTCCTTGGCTTTTAACCTCAGTGAGACTTAGTTTCTCTTTTAATTGAAGTAGTTATTTAATTAATGATTTCACTCTTCTTTTATTTGGTTTTTATTTATATCTCATGTAATTTTATTTTACAGTTCCAATGTACAGCACTTTGTGTCAGCTGTGGTTGTTTTAAAGTGCTTTATAAATAAAGTTGATGATGATGTTTTTACATGTCACAGCAATAAAGGAGGACAACATCA